TCGTTGTTCACCTGTTCGTTAGCGTCATTCGTTCATTCCGTGGTTCACCGTCAAACCCTTCGTTAGAGGTGTGTACGTTGCCCTCTAACTTTAGAATTCATAGTATAATCATATCGTTATGTTCATAGGATTACCCGGCTAAACCTACGCGCATCCACGTTATCATGACTCTTCGTTAGTTAGACCTTTCAACTTTGCATTTGATAGCATAATCGTTAAGAACCTTTACAAATTCATTAATTACTGAAGCCGGAAACATAAACGTTCAACTCTAAAACTCTTAACGTATTGATGAAAACCCAACAGGCAAAATAGGAGTCGGCGTGCCTTAACAATCGATTCACAGAACATGACAATCGATTATTGGGTCACGCAGAACTCCTTGGTTAAACCTGCAAGCGTGATAATCGATTATCACAAAGGTCATAATCGACTATTAGGCCCTGCAGGTTCTGGGTCAGAGTTTGGTTTCGCTGATAATCGATTAATGCCATGTACTAATCGATTATCAGGCCTCTCTGAACTTGGATTCCCCGAACAAACAAACATGACAATCGATTGTCACAAAGTGACAATCGACTAACGCAAGCTGCAAGACTTTGGGAACAGAAGCTGCATTGTGAGATAATCGATTATCAGGAATGGGTAATCGATTATCAGCCAGTTCTGAACCCAGGACATCCTTTCTGTGCAAATCATTTCTTATGGAATCAAACGTACAAAATATGTGCTAAATTTCGTAATGCATTCATACCAACATGAATATCCTAGACGCATGTTTAGGATCATGGCATACTTTGCATATCGCGACAAGAGGTCAGGCCCAGTGCGCCTCTTCCGCGGGCCCGTTCTGGAGCCTACGGGGTCCAGCGGGTTCACATATCGAGGGCTTGTGTACGTACATGGTAGCTAGGCTCGGCTATCACCCACATGGCTAGTCTCCAACGGGATGACTAAGTCGTTCCTCGGCTCATCTACCGCGTGGGGATGGTCACCGAAGGGCAGGGGTGTCCCTGCGTAGTCTAACCCATGCATCATGACCACTTGGCATTGCATCATTGTTCATTAGTGTCTTTTGTTGTAAAATGTGTGAGTAGTCTCTCGCACTTTAGTACAGGTATGATTATGTTTATATCAATGTGAATGTACTATGTGTTCTTCTATTAGATTACCACTCAGCTTTTGCTGAGCGTATAGCATTGTTTCATTTTGCTATACGCAGGTAGGCCAGAGGATCATGGAGCCTGACCCGGACGATTGGGTGATCGGAGCGGCGGATGAACGACAGTGGAGAATCCATTTAATTATGAAAACGTTTTGGGCTGAACCCACCGTTGTTGCACTTATGTTACTAAAGACTTAGCGGTTTTATATACATTTTCTTCCGCTATAAATATTCTCCAAAACTCAATTTGTCTCCATCATTAAATAATATTTACATCAAGGGTTTTCCGTTACAAGCAACGCAAGAGTTTTTCTTTGTAGACGGCCTTAAAAACCGTCTACGTAACCTCTCTGGCTCGTTGGACCGCGGTGAACCGGATTTGCGGGTTGGAGGGTGTTACATTTTGGTATCAGAGCCTGGTTCTAAAAAAAAAGTTGAAACCTTTTTCTAAAAAAAAAAACATTTCCTCCAGGGTCCACTGTCGCATCCCGCTTCGTATCTCCACCGGGAAAGGTAACCATTATCCTTGTAGTTGTTTATTTCTTAACCCTTATAGGAAATCTCCTTTCAGAAAGGAGATGAGTCAGGCTCCCGAGCATGGACAAGTTGGTCCTCAGGGAGAACAGGAGCACGTGAGCGTGCATACCGAGGCGTCTAGCTTCACCCCGCGAGAAGCCTTAAGAAGGAATAAAATTAGTAGTACGTACAGATTCTCCCTTTGATCCAAGAATTCTCTTATGAACTACTAGTTCTCCACGGTGGTGTGAAAGTTTGAGGACAAACTTTCTTTGAAGAAGGGGAGTATGTTATACCCCTGGATGTGTTATACC